GAATGTTAGTAGTGACAAATGGTATGCACACAGACAGTACAAGCTATCCTAAAACAGAGCACCTCCTGTATGAGAGAACTCTTATTTGCATAGGGAGACAACAAGTCTTTTAGTCAAGCCATGGATTGTATTTTGGAATAAGGTAGTGGAGCCAAAATACCCGTGGCAAGATCAAATGAGCTTCAATGGAATGCCATTGAGGAGTACCAAAAAGGCGTGATTACTGTAGGTAATTACCATATGCAAATTCTGCAGAATGACCATGATATCATAGCCATATCAGGTCAGTGACTTGCTATCACAGGCTATCAGGACAGTAAAATTGCCTTCTGATTGGCTAATTGCAAATTTGGGTGTACATGGTAATGGTGTAACTAGTCACTTATTCCTTGTACCTGCAGTAAACTAAAGGGCTGGAGGACTGAGATTTAGCACTGCACTGATTTGGTCATCTCATTTTAGTCACATATAAGTCATGGCAAATGCATTCAAGTCTAAAAAATCTTGCAGAAAATTTAAGTCAGTGCAAATTATGCTCACACAAAATACCAAAATAACCTTGCTGCTTCCATGGTGTACTGTAGCATAGTGGAATCAAGTACGTAATACCAGCAAGATTTTAGTGACAAAACTGCAAACCTAACAGGTTCTGTGACAATTTATTTTTAATACACTAGTGTAAAATAGATTGACTAAATAGTGACTGCACAAACAACAAACAGCTTAGTGAGCAATGCTCTCTTTATTTGTGTGATCTGAAGAAAAATGTCAAAATGTTACATTACAGGCAGAGTGTCTATAAATAATAGGTGGCCGCAATAAGTGTACATTGACTATTTACAGTATATTTGCAAAGTGAACTACAATAAATATCAATGAACTTGTAGTGACTATGTTCTAACTTGTATCACCAAACTACCAGTASCCTTGAAGCTCTAATGTGAGGCAAAACAGAACTGTGTTCCTGACCACACCTAACACCAGAACCAACTCTCTAAAATGGAACTGTTTAGTTCCAACTGCAAACTGGTCGGAAAGCACTCATTCTTAGGAAAACATGCCCACAATGGCCAGCTTTATACAATGACGCAGGCAGCCAACTCAGAGAAATCTCTTAGAAGTCCTGTTACACATGTAGAAGATTTGATCGTTATACCATAGTTGACCTACAAAAAGGGAAAGTTCACTGTGCATATAGTTAGATTTCTTGTTCAACCAGACTTCCACCCGAGTTCTAAAACTATAGACTGAATCACTGCAAATGTCTCCTTTCTTGTCTCCTATTTTGATTCTATCACCTCTTCATTATTTTACAACGGAAGCTGTTCAAGAGATAACAGGAAATAAAATTCTTTCCATCTCTTTCACGTCTTACAAAAGTTAATGAGAGCTAATCAAAAAGCTACATGTATGTATGAGATAAGCACACTCAACCTTGACTAATAATTTTTATTGAGCACCTTTTCTGTGCTCAGTAGCTATAAGAATACAGGTAACAACTTTTATCATCCAACTCTTCCTAGCGAGTACAAATTGAAACGGTACAAGCCATCTCGTACAATATTTGTACTTCACGAGCTAAACCGGTTTAACAGGTTTTATATGGTCATCCTGTTCCTTTCAACTGCATGAAAGTCTTACATGTATATATGCTAAAAAAGAACTTCACGATTTTGCCAAAAGAAACTGTTGGATAACAGATCTTTTATAAGACATCTTCTTAGTGTGTAGTATCACCATGACTACCCCTTTACTCATTATCTGTATTTTGACTTGCCTTATGGGTTTGCCAAAATACTACAAGACTCCTTAAAATATACTGTGATGCTACACACTTAAGTCTCTTTAAAGACAAAATAAATTGATATATTTTACACAAAAACAAACAAAAACACTGCAGTGAGTATGGTATTTCAGTAATCAAAGTTTAAGGTTTGGGTATCTCCTCCATTGAGAGTCATGTGTTCAGCTGCTGCCGTCATTCCTCCAACAGCATCACCATTATCCAACTTCAACTCATTTGACATCTGATTATCTTTGGCAAGTTGATGAAAATGCTGTAACACACAGACCAAAACATTAAATTTAGAAAAAAGAAAATTGAACGGTGGAACAAAAACTCCCAATTCTGAGTCCCAGTTTATAGAATCCTACTTTCTCATGCACTAGTTTAAGAGGAATGTGAAAAATTAGCTTGTAAAAATTCAAGGACCACTCAAATTTTAACAAACTTTGAAATTAAATTTTAAAAAAGAAGATTTTTCAACTTTCACTTGGAATTGGAAGCGAACTGAAGATTATTAATTCTTTTTGGGGGCAAAATATCTGGCCTTTGGTGCAGCCGGACACGCAACAGAATCCCAGTGGTTTAGACTGTCTGAGACGCAGGCCAAATATTTGGTGTTTCCTTTAAACACCTGGTGCTGCAGATTTATAATGACATCAGTTCATACATATAGCTACGCTTTCTGTACATACCTGTGAGTTCTTGAACTCTGAAAATAAGGTAAACAGCACATGCAGAGCATGGATTCTGTTGTTGTGTACTGGGATGTCAAGGATTCCTGTCACCAAAAGTGCAGAGAAAAAAAACAAATACTAAAATTATTATACTATGAACAACTCAGTGCAACTCTGATAATAATTATTATTACAAGAAATGTCCAGATTTCCATTCTTCCAAATAAAATAGTGGCAACTTACCACAGATCAAATCCACATATTGATTCAACTCCACATCCAGATCTGCTGTTGGAAGCCCAACCTTTTTAAGATTGAAAGAATGTTTTCAAGAGTCTAAGGTGCTATCCCACACACCTGCATACATTGTGTAAGGCACAGATGTAAGTCAGATAGTGATCTTCTACAGGGTCCCAATTTTGAATCATAATAATTTATTTCTAGCGCATTACATTAAAAAATCTCAATGCTCTTACAGAATAAAAATGAGAAAAACGATAACGAAACCAATATAAGGAAAATATATATCATATATCATATCATATCACTTATGCGCCATTGAGGTCATTGCTGGAAAGAGGTTTTGTAATTAACGTCCTGAGTGCATGTGCTATCTTTGAAACAAATTCTGGTGACAATTTGTGGCAGATTTTAAGAACAATCCCGGTGCAATGGACTCTTAAAGATTTGACCCCTAACCTCAAAAAGCACATTTTCTTTTAATACTTCAGTGCTTTAACTACACTGCAGCAAATTGAGCTTTAAAACTGGCAGTTTATAAGTTGCGAGAATTTACTGCTCAAAGATTTGATACTGAACACTGAAAGGTAACAGACAAGTCAGATTTCATAAACTACAGCTAACCTGGTTCAAAAGGTCTTCAAATTCTTGTGGCCACTCCTGCATAAGGGACTCGACATCTGGCATATTCCTAGCCATAGAGAGAATGTAATCAAGCTGTTGTCAGACAGTAAGAATACAAAGTAAAATCAAATCAAAGAGAGCCATAATCACAAATGATGTGATAGCCACAAATTACATGGAAACGCACCCCAGCCTCTTCATTAAATGCAGCATAAGGAGAGTATTTCATAATTCTCAATACATTGTTACAAAGATTTTATTATGTAATCATTTTTCCAAAGTATCACGATGTAATCCTGGTTTGTGCATGTGCAGTTGTCTGTGGAGATAGCACAAGGTTTTGATTCTTGATCCGCAATGTTTGTATTGACCTTTTGTCATGGCTTGAACAACTACATTTGAAACATGTTATAGCAAACATAATAATTATGATTGCCAGTGTGCAGTTTACAAAGCAACCCAATCTCTGCCAATCTCTGCCAGACATTCCTTTTACTTTTAATAATGGAAGGAATTTTTTATTAGTTGTTCAGTGTCCTCTTCTTACCTCTGGTAATGAACTGTAGGAGCAGGTTTTTGACGATGAAGTTCCCTGTTAAAAAGAAGCACGTGAAGACAGTCAAACACGTTTCCAGGTAATTAATTAAAAAGCTGTTTAATATATAAAAAATAATGAACAGCATACATATATGATGACACAGGCTCGGTGGGTCTCCACACATTGAACAACTCTTTAAGGGAGGGTGGCTCAGGTGACTGGTTGGTAAAATGGTGCATCCTAGTCACCCATAAAGTTCAGGGGTTTCATCAATGTTTTCAGCAACAGAGCAACTGGTTTTCACAGGTGAGCAAAATTTTTTGAACTGAACCTCTCTACAATAAAAACCTTTCCTTTAGATGGTCAAACCAGGCAAGCACAACCAGTCAATCTGCCCAGTGCCCAGCCCTTAATGAAACCCTTGCATAAAGTAATTACTAGGTACATAGTTTTCATATCTAAAGTGTACTCCCCCTACATCTCCTCCCCCAGGTCATCTAGGATTATCTGGGAGTCTCCTGGATACAAACCAATTTTCCCATTCTCCCATATGCAGCAGTTTCATGAACATTTTTGGCACGAGGGCAACAGGTTTTCACAGGCAGGCAAAACTATTTGAACTGAACTTCTTTACAAGAAAACTTTTCAGAGCTACATGGTCAAACCAGCTGGGCACAACCGTCCTTACAGCCGGTCAAGTTGCCCCATCCTTAATGAAACCCTTGCATATGGGTCACTAAATCTCTGATATACTGTATGTACAACAGAAAGCGTGCAAAGCACATGACTTGTACATTTTCTATTTCAGCTGATTTTTGGCATCTTGGAGGGAAACTTTTGGAATATTTGATGCACTTTTGTGGTTGAATCAGTTAAGCTCTACTTTTAACAACATTTTTGTGGGGTCAAGAAGGTAAAATTGGCAATCGCCTAGATTTCAAATTTTTAATATGGCACCATAGTCTGCCAGATGGTAATTGCTAGTCTGTAAGATGAAGGTACATGGTTGAGCAGGAGATAAAGGAGTATAGATTGGGTTAAAGAGAAAAATGGTATTCTCTGCCAGTGGCAAGGTTCCTTATGTGTGCACACTTACACTAAACGATTGATTTATTACCTGATTAAACTCATCAACAATAGATGAGCTTGGCGAATGATACCTGAAAGGATGTTGGAGCCCTAATGCAAAAAGAACTGAGCGCAAAGGGTGTCCATGACAATCCTGTGAGCAGCAACCACCAGGCACCATCACACAAAAAGAATGATTCATTACCTGATACTATCTATCCAGTTATCAACAGCTTTAGGATTCTTTTCAGGATCTTCAATGCTCCGCACAGTCTGCAGCATGGAAAAAGAGACATGTTCAGTGAATATTACAATAAGAAACAGAATAAAATGGGGCTCTAGAACTCCCATTGTCATGATTGAGTCACATGGGTTTCAAAAGATAACACAGTTAATTTTCTTTAGTTTTAAGACATTTTTATGGTTATACTGTATGTTCTGGGATATTTACCATGGCTTTCAAGTTTGTCTGTTTGGAGATGGTTCTAAGCTGTAGATCCAGAACTGAAACGTAACATTAAAATTAGTATTATTTTTTTTTTTATCAGAAAACAACTTGTGTTTATCCTTGTTTACAAGAGAGGGGAGGGATAAAGTCTGCATACAAGCCAAGTGGCCCATCAGAATGGTACTTATCTGCGGTTTCTTTAGAATGAAGTGATAAGGAGTATTTCTACTTCCACCTGAATAGGATACTGGTCCATAACAGGGTTATCCCCCCAGCATTTGCCGATACCCATATATACACCTGGGTGGAGAGATGCACTGTGAGAAGAAAGTGTCTTTCCCATGAACACAGCACAATGTCCCTGGTCAATTCGGAGGCAAGCTTCCACTTTTCAAAGTTGTATAGTCAAAGAGCACCAAAAACTTGCACTACAAGTATGTACATATATATGTAGCATTATTTTCTTGTGTAAATCCTGGTCCAAGACAATATGTACAGTGTACCTGTAGGATCAGACTGTTTAGCCATTGGTTCATCAAGAACGACCAATCCCAGAGTCTCAGGTTTACCATCTGGTCGTGTCACCTGCAGGAAAGTCATAAAAAAGTTAACGCTGGACAAGAGGTGTAAATAAATTCCACTGGCTAAGTGAAATGAAATAAGTAGAAAATGTCTTCCTCAAGCATTACTGGGGCCTGGGAACAGGTCATGTGACCCTGGGCAGGTAGTTGTTTTGTTGTGTCCACCATGATTGCATGACTGTGCATTACCAACTCACCCACCCCAAGATCTTAAGTTGGTATTTTGATATTTTTATTGAAATCTGTGTTGGTCTGAAACTTTTCAACCCAATCTTTGCCAAGATCCAGTATTAACGCTTGTAACCTTTAGTTGACAAACCTACTATACAAAACAGCTCTTTTTGTCCAAGAATAGGCTTAACTTTTTCTTGTGTAACCAGACAAAGTCGTGAAAAGTGAGTTAGCCTGCACAGTCTGCATAGCAATTGTTCTCGTACGAACAAAAGATCTTTTTCCCCATTATTGCCGTACACCACCACCCCTCTCTCCATCTATTTTTACTCTCACCCCAATTTTCACACAACCAGCAGCCAAGAATCTCTTCCCTTATATGGAAAGTATGCTTGCCATGCAAGCTAAAGTGAGTATTCATTTTCCTTTAATAAATTTACTAACAGTGACCAAAACATTTGTATCCGGTGACCATTGATTATTTGACGTCTTACCTTCAAGAATGCATCAATGTCTCCAACAGCAGGGATGAAATCAGGATTAAACGGCTTCATTTTATGCTCCAAATCAATTGTTTGCGGAGTGTACCTATGATAAACAGTGCAAATGTTTAACTTAAATATTATCAATTAGGGCAATAAGAAAAATACTATCTATCAGGGTTGTAGCTAAGAAAATAGTCTCCCGGCTAAGATTTTTATGAGCCGGTCACCATTTTTCGAGAGAGACCTGGAAAAAAATTTCTGTCCTTATTCTTTTGGAACACCTTGAATGCCATGCTACCAAGCTTCAAATTTACGAGATGGCGGATGCAGTGCATGGAAAGAAAACGATAAACAAGTGCTCAAAACAAGATTTTATTTCAATTACTTTACTGGATAGAGTAGCACCGATACTCAAGGTAGTCAGGAATTGACTCCAAACTTTTCGTTTAGATGGTTCAATATGGTTCAGATATCGAATTATCGTACATTGGTAACGTAACAACCGTTCGTTGTCCTTTACCAAGTGATTGCCCACCAAAATCCAACCAGCAATCCATTCTTTCCCAGCCAGTGAATTTTGCAGCTGTTGCTTAGTGACAACCCTGATCTTTTGTGTACTAAAGTCATGCAGAAAGGTTAGAGACAAGTGGCATTGTAAAAAATAAAACGTACCTTGTAATGTACTGGAAGAGTTCCTTGATTTCTTGACTCACTGGAAGGTGTTCATAGTCAGCTGGGTCATAAGCACTGGATGTAAAAAAAGATAACGGCAGCAAGTACATAAAACAGCAAACACATGCCCATTAATGAGCATGACGTTTTGTAATTTATATACTCTATCCACCATAAGAACATTAACTAATAATAATGAGATTTAACACCCCCCTGTAAGTAAAGACCCCTTATCAATTTTTAGGGGGAGGAGTCAATATCATGAATAAGCCAAAAAGGATTTAACTAAGTGCATCATTTGTTGTTTGGACACTTCAGAGAGACCATGATAAAACACAAAATACTGTAAGCATCCTCCCTGAAGCTGTAAAAATTAAATTTCAAGTGCACTGGGTCCCAAATTGGATTTTTATGTTAATTAATTAAACCATTAGTCAATGTTATTGATTGTATTTATTTCCTCATGCAAGGTTGGTGCCTAACAATAATGGACATACCCCACCAGTGCAGTTCCATGTGCATCATCATCTTCATCATCATCATCGGAACTGTCACTCTGATCATCATTATCATCTTCATCTTCATCATCATTAGTTTGTTGACTTTCCAGTTCTTGGCCAGTTGGTCTCCCAGGTCGTTCCTTGAGCCCCTGCAGTTCTTGTGGCCGAGAATAGCCCCCAGGAGCCTCCTACAGAGATCAAAAAATGAACTGGCCAAAATAAATTTGTACATTTTATATAAATTTAGCACCAACTTGCTACTAAAAATAGTAAATAGTGGGGCGCCATATTTTCTGATAATGAAATGGGGTTCAAGCAGTCCTGAAATACCCACCTTACTTTCTGCTAGGTTATCATGGTCAAACTCATCATCACTTTGGTCAGTCATGGAGATAGATCCAATTCCTGTGGCCAAAAGAGAAACGTGATTACAGTGCACAGTGCAGGAAGTATATTTTTCTCAATTAGCAGGACATCTATTTTGGGCAGAGATATTCAAAAATTGCTGGGACGCATAAATTAACATTTTTTTTGTAATTTCCAAGCATGTTTTTTTCATGTGTTATGCAAGTGTGGAGACTACATATTAAGCAGATCCATGAGTTATGATTTTTAAAATGTTTCAAGGCAAACATGATCTGTAAACAAGATCTTTGTGACAAAACGCTAAGTCATTTTAACACTTGGGTAATTGATGTCCAAACATACTTGTCTGTAACATTAATCAAATTATTACAGGATTTGTTCAGACAATGTCCGATAACCAACCAGCACTGGTGTAGATGAACGTGTCCAAGGACAAACTGACAGTTATAACTATGCTTTATTTATATGGCTACACGTAGCTCAGTGAACGGACAAGATGAACCAAATTCTACACTGTGATTGGCTACAAAGCGGGCAAGATGCTGCTATCTTGCCCACTGAGGACAACCCACTTTGTCCTACTAGAAAAATTTAACCGAAAGCCATGTAATGAATCCTTTATTTACCAAGCTTGTTTGGTCAAGATGGCTGGATATTGGCCTTGTTCTTTTTTGGGGAGTTTAAGGACCTTAAACTCGCCTAAATCCATAAACACGCAAAAAAAAAAAAAAAAA